GGTCACATATGATAATTTTTTGAGTAAGTTTAAGAACATGCTGCAACTCACCTAAAACCAAATAAAACAAAAGTTATAAAACTATTAATTTTTTATTTCATTCATCATATATATAGTATTTTGCTGTGGCTTAAAGCAAAACATAAAAAGGAGTTATTATTATTATTATTATAGTTAATACCACCACCAGAGCCCAAGACCAGAAACTTTAGGAAAACAAGTTTAACGAAAGTCCATCAAATGTTCACTCCATATTCTGCTAATGCTACAGAGAAACTTTTTTTTCCTGTGGTGGTGGGTAATAATCAATCCCTCACCTCCGTTGTCTCGAACAGAGAAGTTGCTGCGGTACATTGCTTCAGGAGCCAAACTGAAGAAGAACTTGTGTCCTGATAAAGGCTCATCGGCATCAGTTGCGCTGACGGTCTGGATCAGCTATCAGAGAAGTGTCATAAAAAACATTACTTGATAAATAACAAACTGCCCTTCACATAAAAGAAGAGTGTGAGAACTGGTTGTGACAATATCGTTCTGTGGACAGAGACTGCAGGGTGAAACATACAAAATAACACCCAAACAAAACAAAAATTCTGACATTCTTTGAAAGAATACATATCACCTGCTGATCTTCATGGTAGAGGTTTAAACTAAAACCTTCTTATGTTGAGAAACAAGGATTTATGTGTCTGTGGGCCAAATGTGGCCTGCCATAGCACTTTAAGTGGCCCGCAAGAGCTTCAAAGATGTATTAAAGGAAAATTTCATCATCCTACCACTAGATGAAGCTGCACAGGGTTCAAAATTTGCTGGCAGACAGCAAAATTCAACATGTAAAATCTCCGGCTACTTTTGTTGTAGCCCAGTTGTACTGGGACGTGGGAATTTCCCTCTTGCAAGTCATAAATTTAAACTGAAATACCTCTACAGTGGGAATTCCCTGTGGGAAAGTGGGAGGGTATATCACATGGAGCTTTTGTTAGTGGTTCTCAGCCATAGAGACGAGATGAGGAGTGTGACGTTTTGTGTTTAGTTGAAACTAAACATGAAACATCAAGGTTAATGACAACTGGCCCTTTGAGGGCCACCTTAACAGTCATGTGGCCCACAGTGAAAATGAGTTTGACACTCCTTGTTTAAGTGTTCGCGTGTGTATTATTTGTGAATGAGTCTCAGTCTTTATGACATCTTATTTTTGGCTAATATCAATTAGCTATGAGGCTTTCTTGAACTGGATTGACAAAAAAAAGAGTAATTTAAATGCAAACTAGATACAGTGGTTTGCAAAAGTATTCATACCCCTTGAACTTTTCCATATTTTGTCACATTACAACCACAAACATAAATATATTTCA